TGTTCTTTGTATATTCTGGATGCAAATTCCTTATCAGATATTTGATTTGCAAATGTTTTCTTCCATTCTGTTTTTTTTTTTACTTTGTTGATGGTATCCTTGGAAGCTCAAAAGTTTTTAACTTTTATTTATTACACTTTCCCTCTGTCTTCTTTAGTCATTTGTGCTTTCAATGTCCTAAGAAGGCTTTTTACTCTTGGTCATGAAGAGTAAAAGTCATGAAGATTTACTCTTATGTTTTCCTCTAAGAGTTTTATAGTTTTATCTCTTATATTTGGTCCTATGATCCACTTCAAATTCATTTTTGTGCATGGTGTCCAATTTTTTCTTTTTTTATGTGGATTTCTAGTGTCTTAGCACCATTTTTGATGCTCACTAAGTTTTTATGAGTCTCAAAAATTAACATATATAAAGCACTTAGAAATACCTGGGGATGCATAGAGCAGCACTGAGTAAATATTAGTTATTGTTTTATCATTTATTGTATGGAACTGTCATATGTCTACTTATCCTTCTGCCTCAAAAGACTATCTTTATCTTCATGCCTATGTGCCTGACCTAGTTCCTGACAGACAGTACCTGCTGAATGGATCTCGTTGAATGGATGAATAATATATAGAGTTTCTCTGCTGAGACAGACAGAGGGTAAAGCACAGTTTCAACACTGATGTTCTACTGGGCTTGGCTTGGGTCCCTACCAGAGGGCTTCTCAAAGTTAGAGCACATTGACAGTACCTGCCTTAGGACATCTCTCCAGAACACACAGAATGCAAACTCTGGGTACATCACCCTGCAGAACTAGAATCTTTTCAGCATAGTATTCATTCCTGTGTGACCCTCCTCACCATTTGCTTCTTTCTCCTCTTGTTCCTGAGCATGCACGTAGGGAATGGAATCCCTCCCGAATATCAGAGTCAGCCAAATCTCTTCTGCTGTATCCTTTGCCTTTCAACCCCTCAAAGCTGAAGGTACAAGGCTCACTCCCAGCATCTTCCCAGTCTCTATCCATACACTTTTCCCACATGATCTCATCTAACGTAATGACTCTAAATACCAAGTAAGTGTTGATGACTCGCAAACCTGTTACTCCAGCCTTCCTGAGGTCCAGACTTACATTTTAATTGTCGTCTTCATGTCTCATTTTGGATATCTAACAGGTGTCTCAAACTTAATATGGCCAAAACCGAGTTCCTCCCACAAACATATTCCTCGTCTCAGTAGATGGCTCCATACATTTTCCTAGTGACTGCAGTTAAAAATTTGAGATCCATCCTTGATTCCTCTCTTTTTTTTTTTAAGATTTTAAATTTATTTATTTGAGAGAGAGAGAGAGAGAGCGAGTGAGAGAGAGAGCAAGCACATGGTGGAGAGAAGGGTAGAGGAAGAGGAGCAGAGGGAGAGGGAGAAGCAGACTCCTTGCCGAGTAAGGAGCCCTATGCAGGGTTGGGTCCCAGGATCCTGGGATCATGACCTGAGTTGAAATCAGACTCTTTTTTTTTCTTTCTTTAATATTTTATTTATTTACGAAAGAGAGAGAGAAGCAGGCTCCATGCAGGGAGCCCGACGTGGGACTCGATCCTGGGTCTCCAGGATCACGCCCTGGACTGAAGGTGGTGCTAAACCACTGAGCCACCCGGCTGCCCTGAAGTCAAACTCTTAATTGACTGAGCCACTCAGGCACCGCCTTGATTCCTCTTTATCTCTCATTCCCATATCAGGCAAATCCTACTGAATTTGCTTTCAAAATATGCCAGCATGTTATCACTGCTCACCACCTCCAGTGCTTCTACTTGAGAACAAGCTCGCGTCTGCCCATGAGTGGTCGGATGCAGTAACCGCTGACTGCTCTTTATCCTTATCTTCCCCTATTCCATTCTCTAAGTCATAACCAAGAGGATCTGTTTAAAAACATAGATTAGGTCATGCTACTCCGTTGTTTTAAACTCTCTATTGGCTTTCTATTATGTTAGGATAACATCCAAATTTCTTACCATGACCAACATGACTTTCTTGATCTTGCCCTTTAAGTAAAAGTTGAAATTTCTACCAGGTGCAAAGATTTAATGATAGGAGATTTCAAAGCAAGCTGCCAGTTCACAATATTCAGATTTTCAAAGAAAATGGGCATAAACCTGTTCCATAACTGCTGAAACCCTTTGATAAAATGAAAGGGTTAGACAGTAGAAGAGAGAGGATTTTGTGAAGAATAAGTATGTAGAAAAGCTATGTAATGAAACCCAGTCTGTCAAGGAGGTCTTACCTCAAAGCTGGTGGTGCTCCAGAGCTTTCCTGGGGCCACTTGCAAAGCTTACTGTGTTAATGCTTCAGTTGGGAGGTTTGTAGGCTAAGGTTTTGCTCCTGCTTGGGGAGTTAAGATAATGAGAGACAGACTAGCTAGCTTTTGGGGCAGAGCCAGGAGCATGTGGCCACTTTAGGAGTATGGGGGCAGGGTGAGGGCACCAGCTGCAGACCCCAAGGGAGAGAGCATGTGTGTACAGGTGTCTTGAGATTTGACTAATAGGGCTGCCTAGGGGAGTGAGGAAATGCCAGCAGCAATAATTTGGAGGCAAATGTCTAGGGGCTGAGGATGGAGTCTCAAGAGATCACCCAAAATAGAAAGGCTCTCTCCCCATCAAAGGGAATTGCAGAAGAGAGAGCCCAGTGAGAATCTTCCAGAGCTCCGAAGTTTCCTCATGAAGAGGCATCATCATCATCATCATCATCATCATCATCATCATCATCATCATCATTTGCCAGGCCTGGAAAGTACAAGGCTTTGGTGCTAGTCCAAGTGAGACCCTTCCTGTCCCTTTTCCAGTCTCTACCTGCATTAACCAATCTCGGAGGGGTTGAAGGTACAGCCATCTTGTTATTCTGTGTTCATATATTGGACAGAAATGCCCACTTTCTGTTTTGGGGTCTTTCTGTGGATTAAAGTGATTCTGAGACAACTAGTTTGATAAGTGTGAATAGTCATGTGGCCTGCTGGAGTCCTTATTCTCTGGCAGGAAATGGCTCCCTCACTTGGTAAAATTAGAAGAAATAGTGGATGAGAATGCATGAAATTATGACTTGATAACACTATGAGTTCAGCCAGCCATACATGGCGAAGGCTCTGCTTGCTCTGGCCCCTTAGCCCACGTCACCCCCGAGAATGCCTTCCCAAGCCTACAGGTCTGAAGGAGCAATTTTTCCCTTTCCAGGCAGTCTCTGACAATCTTACTCTTCTGTTTTCTTCGCTGCACTGATTACTACGTGAAAGCATCTTGTTCATGTGGGTTCTTATTGTCAGTTCCATTGGGCTACAGGTTCCACAGACGGAGGAATCCCACCTCTTTGGTTCACTGCTCTATCCCCGGTGACTAGACTAGGTACTCTGTGTACATAAGTGCTCAGTAAATATTTGCTGAGTGAATGCATAAAAACTGTACGAGCAATATAGATCTGAGAGTAGGGGAATTGCATATTCACCAACTTCGGTGAGATCTCTCTTTCTGTTGTGGATTAGTCATTTTCATGTAATTCTACATGTACGCTGCAGTAGTGACAACTTTTACATTATTTGTATAACTGTTTCTCTTTTATCACAAGGTCACCATCCAAAAGGATACACTTACATTAAAAAAACGTTTCAAACAAATGTGGAGAAAGGACAGATTTGAAGTATTAAAGAGAAAATATTTGACTATGAATCAACTCGACTATATTTTCATTCAAGAAAATATTTTTGCTTTTTATTTTTTTATTTTTTTAAAGATTTTATTTATTTATGAGAGACACAGAGAGAGAGAGGCAGAGACACAGGCAGAGGGAGAAGCGGGCTCCATGCAGACAGACCGATGCCAGGACTCCAGGATCACGCCCGGAGCCAAAGGCAGACACTCAACCACTGAGCCACCCAGGAGTCCCTATTTTTGCTTTTTAATATGGTCTCACAGGGATCTCTTTTTAATGCTGGTGTTGGAGGACAGGATAGCACATGCACCTTGTAAGCTATGGTATCTCAGTGTGACAGATAGACACTAAGATGGTTTCCCATGACCTCCACCTTTGGTGTCTGCACCTTTTTGTAACCCCCACCCTTTGAGTGTCCCTGTAGACTGTGACTTGCTTCTATCCAACAGAATATGGCAAAAGTGATAGGTTGTTACTCCTGGGACTGTTCTATGCCATTCAAGACTCCATCTTGCTAGCTAGCTTGGCCTAGAGGCTATCTTTGCCTTACTTTGATGAAGTAAGGCACCATGTTGAAACGGTCCACCTGGCACAGACTGCCGGTGGCCACCGGGATCCGAGGGAGCCTTCAACCATCACGCAGTAAGAGGCAGGTGGCCCTCATTCCCACCACCACATGGAAATGGGTTCTCTCACTGGAACATAAAACCAATTTAAACCATTATCAGCCACTTATACCTCAGAGTCCAGGAACGATTTAAGAAGAGATTTGGTAGAAATATGGACCAAGGCTCTGACCTTGGTCCTATGACTGCTCGTAGGTGAGGGTGGATGCGTAACAGGGAAACTCAGCTGGAGACAGACTCGTCTCCATCGTTTAGGTCTTGGCCACATGAGTGTCTCTGTATACTTGTCGCCTATATAATTAATGTCTTACGAGTGATCTGATGGGGGGAGATACGTTTATAGGGCTTGAGGGGGAATCAGAAGGCTGGAACTCAGTCAGAGACGCGGAAAAACCCTCTACATTGATGCTAACGATGGTAGCATGCAGGCAAAAGCGGAACAGGCAAATCAGGGGCAGTCGGTGTGCCTCGTGGTAACCGAACCCGCGGGGAATTTGCATCCTCACTGAACTGAGCTCTCGTGTCCCCTGGAGCCCAAGCATCTGCCTTCTAAGTGGGCTCTGGTTCAGATGTAGAGGAAGACATCGGTCTTCTCACATCCCCAGGGAAAGATCCAAAGGGGGGCCGTGGGTGGGGGTAGGGAGGAGGCCAGGGGCCAAGACAAAGGCTCAGAGTGGTGGGGAGAGCGGAGAGGCCAAAATGCAGCCCGCCGTCTCCGCCTGCTTCATGCTGCTCTTTGTCCTGCTGTGTGTCCTGGGGATCCTGGCCAACGGCTTCATCGTGCTGGTGCTGAGCAGAGAGAGGATGCGGCGGGGGAGGCTGCTCCCCTCCGACGTGATCCTCCTTAGCCTGGGCGCCTCCCGCTTCTGCCTGCAGTGCGTTGGGATGATGAACAACTTTTACTACTACCTCCACCTGGAGGAGTACAGCACGGGCCTGGCTCGGCAATTCTTTGGCCTCCACTGGGACTTCCTGAACTCGGCCACCTTCTGGTTCGGCTCTTGGCTCAGCGTCCTCTTCTGCATGAAGATCGCCAGCTTCACCCACCCCACCTTCCTCTGGCTGAGGTGGCGGCTCCCAGGCTCGGTGCCCTGGCTCCTCGGGGCTTCCCTCCTGATCTCCTTCCTCGTCACCCTGCTCTTCTTTTGGGGAAACCATGCCGTGTATCAAGGATTCCTAATCAGAAAATACCCCGGGAACATGACCTTCCAGCAGTGGAGCAGGAGGCTGGAAATTCACTATTTCTTGCCCCTGAAATTCATCACCTTGTCAGTGCCTTGCTCCGTCTTCCTGGTGTCCATCGCACTGTTGATTAATTCCCTGAGGCGACACAGGGGGAGGATGCGGCGCGGCGGCCACGGCCTGCAGGACCCCAGCAGCCAGGCTCACACCAGGGCCCTGAAGTCCCTCGTCTCCTTCCTCATTCTGTATGCTCTGTCCTTTGCGTCCCTGGTCATCGATGCTGCGGGTTTCTTCTGCTCGCAGAGTGACTGGTACTGGCCCTGGCAGATTTTAATCTACCTGTGCACCTCTGTCCATCCCTATATCCTCATCCTCAGCAACCTCCGGCTCCGAGGGGGGTGCAGGCAGCTACTTCTGTTGGTCAGGGGCTCCCAGCTGGCCTAGGTGGCATGGTCCCATCCAGACCCCCAGAGGGGACTCGGGGACGATGACAGAGCCAGTGCCCACGGACGCAGAAATAGCTTCATGGGCAGAGAGATACCCATTGGATTCGACTCTGGGCTCCCCACCTTGGGGAGTGGAGGGGGAGTCAAATCTGGAGATGCTCTGAGTGAGACTCCTTCCTTGGGACACTGGTAAATCGGGCCCCCTGGGGCTCAGAGAGCCAGTATTGTCCAGAAATTCAGAATGTAAAATTTAGTCTACTGTCCGTTTTGTATCCCCTCCATTCCACGGCAGCTTTAAGTTAAAAAAGTCTTGGGGCGGCCCGGGTGGCTCAGCGGTTTAGTACCACCTTGGGCCCAGGGCATGATCCTGGAGACCGGGGATCCAGTCCCCACATCGGGCTCCCTGCATGGAGCCTGCTTCTCCCTCTGCCTGTGTCTCTGCCTCTCTCTCTGGGTCTCTCATGAATGGATAAATAAAATCTTAAAAAAAAAAAAGTTCAAAAAGTCTTGATTAGGGGCGCCTGGTTGGCTCAGTCAATTAGTGTCTGCCTTTGACCCAGGTCATGATCCTGAGTCCCACGATGAAGCCCCGAGTCGGGCTCCCTGCTCAGCAGGGGGAGCCTCCGTCTCCCTCTCCCTCCGCAGCTCCCCTGGCTTGTGTTCTCTCTCTTACTCTCTCTCTCAAATCAATAAATAAAATCTTAAAAACAAAAATTCTTGATTAACAGTACATGTGATCTCAACAGCCTCCCAGGGAATGAAGAGAAAATGTGCTTATGGCTGAGCTAGGGTGTGGATGGGGAAGGAGCATCCCTCCTGAGCATAATGTGATGGTTGCCATGGGAGCCCCAGAGGACCGTAGTTGTGGCCCACAGTGATGTCTAGAGGAGCCCTCCCTTCCGTGGAGATTCTTTCGTTCTCGCCACCCTTGGAGAATTTGATTTTAATTTTGTGAAAACCGCTGGAAGGTTTCTCGACACCAACCCATCTCTTTTCTCATGATTTTTTCCATTGTTCTGCATTCGGTTTTCGCCCCTCTGAGGTCTCAGTGGCAGCCAGACTTATTCCATGTTTATTCTTCCTTTAGAATCTCACATTGCGATTTTCCCCATTTCCAAATTGCCTCTGGAACTTTTTTTGTTTCTCCTCAAGCAAAAGTCACAAAGTCCCATGTCGACTGAATAAGCATGTACTTTTAGTTCTGAAAAACGAAGACTCAAGAGTTTCACTTAGTTTGTGTCCCAAAACTGTTTAACCTCCTTTTGTTTCAGGAATCACCCCATTAAATCTTATGTTTAAATATTGTTTTCAAATAGTTTGCTCCAATTACTATACAAACATTTCTAGAAGTAATTTCGGAAAAAAAAATTCTATTTAGAGTTGGGTGCCTCGAAGGCAGGCTTAAGAATTTTTGCTCAAAGACGCCAGTGTGCAAATTTCCGAGTCTTAACTCCCAACTGGATTCCTGGCAGGGACAAATTTTAATGTTCTCTGAGAGTGAAAACAAGTTGTATATGCTGCCGAGTAGAAGTACACTCATGGACTAAAATCTTTGTGCAGATGCAGATTATTCTATATTTTTACTCTAAACATGTATTTTTAATAGGTAATATATTTGCATGGTTAAAAATTCAAAATGTACTGAAGAGTGTATGTTAAAAAAAATCTCTCTCCTACTTTTCCCCTCTGAGGCACTCTTAATAGTTTTATGTCTGTCCTTGAGATATTTCATTCTATAGCAGAAAGCCACTAATATCAAACTACCAAACCAGTCAACCAGCTTACTTATGTATTCCATACTAGTAACTAACTAACTAACTAACTAACTAACTAACTAACTAACTAACTTATTAACTATGTTCTCCTAGTCTCCTTCTACACAGACGGCTGCACAGTATGCATGCTGCTCTGCTCCTTGCCCTTTCTACTTAATAATTATCTTGGAGATCTTCACATTGTGGGAACACGTAGCATTTCCTCACTTTGGGGTTTACCGTTTTTTTGTTTTTGTTTTTGTTTTGACATAGATGCACCACAATGTCTTTAAATGGTCACTAGTTTGTGGTCATTTAAGTTGCTTCCTGTCTTTCCCTATTATGACAATGTTGCAATGTTGAATGAATCTCCTACGTAAGTAATCTTGCACATGTGCCAGTTAACTGTAGGATAAATTCCATGAAATGGGATTACTGGGTCAAGTGGCATGTGCATTTCTAATTTTGACAGATACTGTCCTCTATAGGTTTGGATCAATTTACTTCCCCATCAGCAATTTATGAGTGCACTTATTTTCACACTTCCTTTTTTGCCGATCTGTTAGGTAAAAAATGGCCTATTAGTAGAGTTGTCATTTGCGTGATTCCAATTTTGAGTAAGGTTTATTATTTTATGTTTAGAGTCATTTGTGTGTTTATTTTCTGTAAGCAGTCTATATCTTCGCTTAATTTTAGATTTGAATTTTTGCTTTTTTGTCTTATTGGCTTACGGGAGCTCTTTATATTTTAGAGAAATCAACTCTTTGTTGTTGTTGTTGTTGTTTTTAAGATTTTATTTATTCATGAGAGACACAAAGAGGACAAGAGGCAGAGACACAGGCAGAGGGAGAAGCAGGCTCCACGCAGGGAGCCTGATGTGGGACTCGATCCTGGGTCTTCAGGATCAGGCCCTGGGCTGAAGGCAGGCGCTAAACTGCTGAGCCACCCGGGCTGCCAGAGCTCTTTGTTTTTGATACAAGAGGCAAAACACTCCCCCACCCTCAGTGGCTTTCATTTTAATTTTTCTTGATACCAATATTAATTTTAAAACTTTTTTTATTTTGAGATTTTATTTAATCATTTATTTCTTTGAGAGAGAGGAGGAGAGAGAGAGAGAGAGAGAGACCAAGCACAGTTGGGGGGAAGGGCAGAGGGAGAAGCAGACTGTGTGCCAAGCAGGGAGCCTGATGTCAGGCTCCATTCCAGGACCCTGAGATCATGACCTGAGCTGAAGGTAGATGCTTAACCGACAGGCCCACCCAGGTACCCCAAAACCTTTTTGTTTTGAAGCAATTATAGACTCCCAGGAAGTTGTAAGAATAGTACAGAGCCCTAGGTCCCCTTCACCCGGCTTCCTTCAGGGGTGGCATCTTGCATTGCCATAGTATGATCTGGACACTGGGTCGATGCAGCAATGCACTGACACAGGTGCATTGCTGCTAAGAAGAGTGTATGCAGTTTTCCCTCTTCTTTCAAACCTGGATTCGTGTGTATATGTGATTTGATGCAATTCTATCCCATGTGCAGATTCATTTAGCCATAATCGAGGAACAGAACTGTTCTATCATCCCAAAAGAAGTCCTTCACGTTACCCTTTTGCATTGTATCTGCCTCCCACCTTACCCTCCGCGTGTTTTTGCATTTTACTTTTATAATATATTTTTTGCCATGCAGATTTTTTTGTTTTTTTTGTTTTTGCTTTTGTTTTTTGCTGTACTTATTTATTGCTGTGTTTATTTAAAACAATAATGACTGCTTGGATTTTGTCTCATAGTTTAAAGGCATTCCTCACTTTGATATCATAAAAAAAAAACCTGCCTTTTAGTTTCTTCTAGCATTTTTATGCTTTCATTTTTTTATTTAAATACTTGGTCTTTGTGGAATGTATTCTGATATAAGATATCCTATGTGGATGAATTCTATTTTTTTTCCAAATGATTTGCTTGTTGCTTTAACACTTTTTTTTTTTGCTTTAACACTTTTTATTATATATATTTTTTCTCTGCTTATTTATTTATTTATTTTTGAAATTTTTTTTATTATTTATTCATGATAGTCATAGAGAGAGGAGAGAGAGGCAGAGACACAGGCAGAGGGAGAAGCAGGCTCCATGCCAGGAGCCCGACGTGGGACTCGATCCTGGGACTCCAGGATTGCGCCCTGGGCCAAAGGCAGGCGCTAAACCGCTGAGCCACCCAGGGATCCCTTTTCTCTGCTTATTTAAAAGCTACTTTTTATCATTACCAAATCCCTATGCATATTGGCTTATTTTTACACTTTCTCTTCTGTTTTACTATCTTGCTATAATCATGTGTGCCACCACCACAGCATTTTGACTATTTTAGGTTTATGATATTTGAATGACTAGTAAACTAGTCTTCATTAATCTTCTTTTCTAATTTTCATGGCTATTATTTTAAAAATAATAGTATCTGGTCCCAAACAAAAATTTCTTTTTAGGAAAATTAAATTGGATACTGCTAATGTATAATTCAGCATAAGGAAACATACAGATCTGTGATGTTGAGCCTTTCTGTTCAAGAATATGGTATGCTTCTCCGTTTATTTAAGATTTCATTACTTTCAGTAGTGATTTAATGTTTTAAAATACAGATTTTTTTTACATGATGTAATGTGAATGCCTATGTATAATTGACCCTTTATGCCTTAGTTTCCTGGCATATTGCCTGAGGTGATAACAAGTAATTGCAAAGATTGAAGTAGGTAATGTATTTGCATGACACATTAGTGTTCATTGTAACTGGTTAATAATTATTATAGTATTGCATAGCTAATATTTGAAAAATTATTATTATTATTTTCTGTATCTGCATTAGTATGAAAAAAGTAGAGAAACTCGAGTATGGCAAGGACCTTTCTAGTCACCAGGAAAGACTAGTGTTTTTTTTTTTTCTTTCTTTGACATCTCTTGTTTTTTTCCCATTCTTTCAATTTTTTTCAACTGTTAAATCAGGCCAATAGGCTTGATATGAGTGAGATAAAGAAAAAACCACTTGTGGTGGGTAAGAAATCATTGAGAAAGGATTTTGATGCTGAAGGGGGCCACTGGAGACTCACTAAGGGGCAGTGACTCTCAGAGATTAGTTTACTTATGCAACTTTTTATTTTAGTTTTTATTTAAATTCCAGTTAGTTAACATACAGTGTAATATTAGTTTTGGGTGTATGATATAGTGATTCCACACTTTCATACATTACCTGGTGCTCATCACAGCAAATATCCT